GGCTTCAGTCAGCTGAAGGTTTTACTAGGGCTGGAGGATTTACTTCCCAAGTGGCTCACTCACATAGCTGGCAACTTGGTGTTGACTGTTGGCAAAAACTTCAATTCCTCTCTATGTGGGCTTTCCACAGGTTTGCTTAAGGGTCCTCATGGCATGGTGGCTGGCTTCCCCTGAGAGAGCAATCCAAAAGATGAAAGCAGAACCCAAATTGTCTCATTACACCTAACCATGGAGGTCACACTGGTCACTTTGTTGTAGTACCTGTCTGTTGGTGATAAATCTCTTTGTTTTTATTTATCTTAAAATGTCTTAATTTTGCTTTCATTTTCTGAAGTATTTTTGTTGGATATAGAATTCTGGGTTGAAAAACTTATTTTTCCTTTTAGCACTTTAAAGATGTTGTTTCATTGTCTTCTGGCCTCCATTGTTTCTGATGAGAATTTAGTCAAATCATATTGTTATTCCTATGTATATAATATACCATTTTTCTCTGAATACTTTCAAAATTTTCTCTTTCTCTTTATTTTTTATTTATTTGACTATGATATACCCAAATGTAGTTTTGCTTGTGTTTATTCTACTGAGGTTCTTTGAGCTTCTTGAAACTATAAATTTATGTCTTTCACCAAATTTTGGAAAACTTCGGCCATTATTTCTTCAAATATTTTTCTACCCTATCTTCTCTATTTCTCCTTCTGTAATTCCAAATACACATTTGCAAGATTTTTTTTTATTGTGTCACAGGTTACTTAGACTCTGTTAATTTTATTTTTAATGTTTTTTCTTATGTATTCTTCAGATCAGATAATATTCATTGATATATCTTCAAGTTCACTTACTCTTCTGGCATCTCCTACATACTGTTAAGACTACCGAGTGAATTTCTTATTTCTCATAGTTTATTTTTCAGTAATAGAAGTTACATTTGATTTTTTTTTGTAGTTGTTATTTCTCTGATGATGAATACTGTCTATACATTCATTATGAGCATATTTTCATTTATGTCCTTAAGTATATTTATATTAACTGCTTTCAAAACCTGTCAGCTAATTCCAACATCTGTATCACTCCTGGGTCTGTCTCCGTTGACTGCATTTTCTTATCCACATGGGACACATTTTCCAGTTTCTTCATATGTCTAATAGTTTTAGATTGTATCCTGGACTCTGTAAATGATATTTATAGTCTCCAGATTCTATTTTATTTGTCTGAAGAATATTGATTTTTGTTTGTTTGTTTTGTTTTATCGGGCTGTGCTCAAACTGTATTTCTGTTTCCCTTGTGGTTGTCATCAGTTGAAATTTTTGTTCAATCATTTTAGGAGTAGCTGAGATGTTTGGTGTTTTCCATGTGCATGCCGAATTCAGAAGTCAGCCAGGGATTTGGGCAGAATTTATATGCAGAATTTGGGGCCTTTCTCTGTATCTCTTTCCTTCCTAGCATTCTCTCTCACTTCCTAGCTGCTGTGGGTTGACCTGACCGCTCTCCTTTGGTTCCTTAAGCCAATAAGGCTGTAGATCCTCCCAAATGGTGTTGATTGGTGCCTGCTTTCAGAAAAAAAGCCATAAAAATGGAAAACTCACCCAGTGCTATTCGTCTCTTCTAAATGTCTTCTCCCTGTTTGGGTCTACTTTTCAGTACTTTGGGGTAGTTAAAAAACATTTTGTCCAGAGTTTATAATTTGTATTGTGGGAGGGTAGGTACAATAGAAGCTACTTCATTATTACCACAAATGGAGCCAGAAAGTGCCTTTTTAAAGGTAGAAATCATAAAGGGAAATATCAACACATTTTACTGTGTGGAGCTTCATACGAGAAAAGAAAGCATCAATATAGTCAAAACATCAAGGGCAAAATGGGGGAAATATTTATTATACATACCAAAGAGTTGTCATCTTTTAATATATGAAAAACTCTTATTCATTAAGAAACAACAACAATACCCTAATTAAAAAGAAATGGACTAAGGACATGCTATGGTCTGAATGTATGTGTCCTGCCCAAATTCATATGTTGCAATCCTAATGCCCTATGTGATGGTATTAGGAGGTGGGGGCCTCTAGGAGGTCATTAGGTCATGAGGGTGGAGCCCTCACGAATGGGATTAGTTTCTCATAAAAGGTCCTGGAGAGTTCCCTAGCCCCTTCTGCCCTGTGAAGATAAGGAGAAATCTGCCACCTGGAAGAGAGCCGTCACCCAACTATGCCAGTGCCCTGATCTCAGACTTCCAGCCTCCAGAACTGTGAGGAATAAGTTTCTGTTGTTTATCAGCCACCAGGCCTGAGGTATTTTGTTAGACCAGCCTGAACAGACTAGGACAGACATAAACCATCATTTCACAATAGAAAGAACACGTATTGCCCGAAAAACATATGAAGAAATAAATGCCCAACTTTACTTGAAGGAATGCAAAAAGAAACAATGAGATTCTTTCATCTAGTATGCACTGTTTGGGGGATGCTAGGGAATGAACAAAAAGATAAAAATTCTAGAGTTAGGAAACAGACAATAGAAAATAAACATAATAAACAGATACATAATGTAATTAGACAAAAGTAGTAAATGGGAGAGATTGAAATTTTGTTTATTCCTCTCAGTGGGTTTATCACTCACTGAAATACTTTGTTCATCACTGATCTCTAGCACTTAGAATAGTGTCTGGCACATATTAAGTGCTCTATAAAATTTTGTTGAATAAATATATGAGAAAGTATTTCCCTGCTATTTTTAGAGAAATTCTTTCCTACCTTTTATTTTCATCTACATCCATATATAAAATGGTATTATGTAAGTCCAGATAAAGTCAATTCAAAAAGAATAAAGATATTGGAATGTTCTTGTTTTTAAAAAAATTTTTTTAATGTCTATTTATTTTTGAGACAGAGAGAAACAGAGCATGAGTAGGGGAGTGGCAGAGAGAGCCAGAGACACAGAATCCGAAGCAGGCTCCAGGCTCTGAGCTGTCAGCATAAAGCCTGACGTGGGGCTTGAACTTCTGAACCGCGAGATCATGACCTGAGCTCAAGTCGGATGCTTAACTGACTGAGTCACCCAGGTGCCCCTGAATGTCCTTGTTGATAAAGAAGAAATTGGGGACTAGATTTGCTCCTGCATGTGCTATAGTAGCATTGCAGTCTGTGCCTCTAGGGCACTAATCTGTGGGGGGAAGGATCTCAAGATCTCCACCTCCTGCACTGATGAACTGGTTTACCTGGCTCACCCATTTCCTTTTTCCATTCTTACCACCAGTTAACATATGAGATAATTTACTGACTTATAATTACTGTTATAATTATTGTTTGCTCCCCTCCCTGACCCCACCCCATACCACAGTGAGCTTCATGAGGGTAAGGATCCTATTCTATTATTTCTGGTACTGAGTAGATGCTCAACCAATAGTGGAATAAATGGATGAATGGATGAATGTCTCAAAAGAGAGAAAGGAATCTGTGAAGGTCTTGAGTTCTCTCTCTTCCTCCAAGTCTTCCCAGGATAAGGTCACCCTCGTTTACACAGTCTACATTCCAAGACACTAGAGGCAAAACTCCATGAGGCATTAAATGTTCACAAGTTTGTTCATTCTTAGAATGGCTTTACACCTGTATTTATAAACCCATCCTTCTGTGTGCCTGTTGATGTTTTGTATGTGAATCCTTTGTTCTTTTTAGAGGTTGCTTAAACAGGAATTTGGCTTAATATTTGTGACTTCATGATAGGATAAAATCGGATGAAGTTGAGCTCCATCCTGTAGAGCCCATTTCCTCTTTGAGTGGAGACTACTTTTCCTCTTCCCTGAAGAACAGTCTCATAGTTGTTTAAATCCTGGATGAAGTTGAACTCTTAAATTTATCATCAAGAAGGTACTGGAAAAAAGTGGAGCAGCAGAGCCCAAGAGCTAAAAATATTGCACCTTTTGAGGGAGTGCCTACTTCACAATCTTCCCAATTAGCTGAGAAATTAGTATTTCTCTTTTAATTTCAAGTTTTCTTAGGAGGATGAGCTGAAAATATTCTGTTCTTCGTTATTTTTCACAAATCTTATCGTCTTCATGAAGACTGCCCAGCCCCTCAAAAAAACAACAGAGGGAAATTCTTCTTTCAGAAAATACAGTGAAAAATGTTCTGTTCTTTGAAACAACTGTGGTGGGGAGGGAAATTCTTCCTTTTAGTTTGAACAGTCATGCTTTTAAGTTACTCGGAGGTGGTTACATATGATGTTCATATAAACCTGTATCTCTCTCATTAAAAGAGAAGATGAAAGAACGGAATTAGCTCATTAATTATTTAAAATACTTGGTGCAACTGTTCCTTATGAATTAATCCAGGCACTTGGAAGACAATTACACTCAGTGTTAATAACATTGCCAACCTTTTCCAGTATGCTGCACTCCAAATACTATTGTGTTTCCATTGACAACATTCACTATTACATATGCATATGAAAAACAGGCATTTTCATCGGAATTACCGTAATAGCATTAAGAGATTATTATTTTTTCCAATTTCCTTGGAAGAAAATTTACTTAAATTAGATTATTTATTACTTGACTGCTCTCCTATCTTGCCTGTGTGTTTAGGTAACCGGAGTTCATGAAAGTATAAACTTCAGAATAAAAGGCATGATTTTATACATTAATGATTTCAAATAAAAGAGGAGTGCTAGTTTGTGCATCACTTCTTTCGAGAAGGTTAAGTCTGTGTTCTGCTTAGGAGAGATAACACTTTTTGTCCCTATAGGTGGCCCCCTGGTGTAGCCATTAGTTGCTAATTACCTGCAAACAAATAAACAATTAACTCCTCAAGCTGCTGGCTGGGCGAGTGTTCATTGACATGCTAAAACTTTCTAAGACAGGATTTTAATTAGTGACGTTCTAAATCCAGCCCCCTTGTCAGCAGAGCCTGGAGGTGAACGCAGGAAGAGCCCAGCCCTGTACACATGGGGCAGAGCCAGCCAAGAGGCAAGGAGAGGCCGGAGGCGTTGTTCTGCGCAGCCCACTCGAGAATGTCTCCCAGCCTGCAGGAAGGGGCTCGGCATGGGGAAAGCAAGCCCTCGCCCTGCTCCTTTTCAATTGAGAGCATTTTAGGATTGGACCAGAAGAAAGACTGTGTTCCATCAATGAAACCCCACAGGCCCTGGGCAGACACCTGCGGCTCCTCAGGTACGCCACAAGTTAATTTTTAAAATTCTTTGTTATTTCGTCTGCAGGGTTTATTTTGGCCTTTATTTCATATTACATAGAGTTAGGGAAAAACTGCAGTTTCATCCAATTACATAACTGAAGTATCTAGGACTTTCAGTGCCTCCAGCTGAGTTCTATAGGAAATGAAAAGAGAATCGGCCTTAGATCCAAGGGAGTATAAAGTTCATCCACAGGAAATGCCAAGAACCTGCATTTATTTCAAAAGGTCTCTTGCATTTGACACATCAGATATTCTGTGTTTTCACTGAAAAAATAAGTGACATTCAGAGACCAAAATGTTCTCTAGCACCAAGGCAGGATCTTCCTTTTTGTTTGCCTGTAGGTTTTTGGTTGATGAGAGGTCAGTTCTCTTGTGAAACCCAGAGGAATTCCACCAGGAAAATTAAAGACAAGTTCCTGAAATTCCTTCTTATAGAACTTCGTGGAATACAGGATTGGGCATCTAAGATGGAGTTTATTTTTCTGTTTCCAGGGAAAGATATTAACCTATGTGTACATATCCCGAGCCTTCCTACCGGGAGCTCATTCCCTTGTACTGTGGATCGCCCAGTGCCAGAAGAAAGATTTTTGAAATATGAAAATTACTTTTCGCCCTCAGAAAGACTGTCTTTGAAAAGAGAACTGAGTTGGTATAGAGGACGAAGACCAAGAACTGCTTTTACTCAAAACCAGGTGGGAAATTTTTTCAAGCAGTAATGATAATACAAAGGTTTTAACTAACCCTGTTGGACAAAAGCCCAATCACTTTGGGATCTGAGTTTAGAAGCCTTGTTAATGAAACAATAGGCTGTATGGAGGTTGTTGTTGTTTTTTTTTAACAGTTTCTGGATAGTCGTTTAAAAATATAAAAATCATATATAGATTAATTGCCCAAGATCTAAATGCAATTATTTTTCTATACAAATTAAAGTTCATTTTATAATGATATACGAAATATCAACATTTTATATAACTAGTACCTTCTTTGTAGATCGAAGTGTTGGAAAACGTCTTTAGAGTAAACTGCTATCCTGGCATTGATATCAGAGAAGACTTAGCTCGAAAACTGAATCTAGAGGAAGACAGAATCCAGGTAAGTTTCAAATTTAGCTGTTACTTATGATGATGGAAATGTTAAGAATAATAAAATAATGTTTCTGAGACCAACTTTATTTTTCCTTACTTTTAGATCTGGTTCCAAAATCGGCGTGCAAAGCTGAAAAGGTCCCATAGGGAATCACAGTTCCTAATGGCGAAAAAAAATTTCAACACGAATCTCCTGGAGTAGATAGAAAACTAAACAGATGAGATTACCTTACATTGCAGAACATGAGGAATCAATGGAGATATCAAGTGTTAAAAATGTGACCTTTCCGCATTTAACCTGAGTGTCGTCATTTTTCTTCCGAAAATATATTGTAGATATTTACAATTATAACATGGTATCTCTTATACGTGGGCACTTTTAGTTACAATAAAGGTCTTTCCTATATATTTTAATAAACATTTTCAGAAAAAGCCAGCTATTTTTTAAGTGAGCAAATTTAATCTAAGAAACTAGTTCACTAAAATCAGCAAGCTCATGACTAAGTGACTCCACGAGCTGGATTCCATTTACAGAATAATTCAAGTAAAATAATCTGAAGAATGGCACAAAGATATGATCTGTTTCAATTAGTTTTCTTCAAGTGCATTTTGAAACATGATTATTATCTTCTCTTAATTTCTGTCATAAAACAGTGAAAATTTCTCACCACGTATCAATACAAATCCTTCTAGCATGTCAGTTTCAAGCTGTTTTTGTTTTTTAAAGGAAAATCATCATGCCAACATAGAGATAGAAAGGCACCAGTTGTCATATTCATACCTTTGGTGTTATATTGCAAAAAGAATTGAGCTGCAAATAAACGCAAATTTTAAAATATTTTCCTAACTATTTACTGTTGTGTTTTACTTTCATTCTTTAAAGGAATAATGATCATCTGGCTTATATCTATTTCTAGTTTAGTGATTTCCAAACAACCATAGATTTTGTTGTTACAAATAATATGTTGACTGATAAGGTCACTGACCTGTCTTTTGTACGTGCTGTGATATAGTCGCTGGAAATAATCAGGGCACTTTTCTGGGACAAAACTATGTATTCTCCTTGCATGTGCCATTGTACCTATCAATTAAAGATGGGAAAGAATAGGTAAGATGCATCACAAGAAGGAAGTCCTACCACTGGAGGTCTGGGTGTTTGTTTTCTAGTTAATTAGTGGAAGGCCAGAGTGGGTATTCTCTTTGAAATGTTTGCTTGAGGACTTCAACTTGGTCTCCTGGAAACTATATTTCAGCTATGCGCATTGAGTTGAAGTCTCCCTTCCCTTTTCTTTCCTGCTCCTCCATTAGCAATGACCACAGTAGAAGATTCTTGTTGAACTATTGCATCTATACCTACTATATACCTTTTTGTTTGTTTAATTGAATGAGAAAGACGAAAGTGGGTGTGCATATTATCACTGAGGAAAAGCAGTGTGACTCAGATTTTAGAGCTTTTTACAGTCATTTGGGGAGAGCACATTTGGGATAGAGAGGTCTGTGTCCAAACAACTAGTCAGCAATAGATTATCGTTTTCTGTCCCACCATTGCTGAGATGGAGAGGGAGGAGGAACAGAGGGCAACAGGGCATCCACTGGAAAACCAGAGGCATTAAATGTTTTTCAAGGAAGTCTACTATCAGACTTGGCCATTTTTTCCAATATAAAGAGCTGCTTCCACTAATATAAAATGTGAAGCACTATTTATGAAATATATTAGGAAGAATTTATCCACCGAGAGCTTTGTTTGCTCTTCATTAGGTTTCTGTGAAGTTATATTAAGTTGGAGGACTGGAAGTCAACAGGAGTGGGTTGGAGAGGAAAGTGTCACGTGATGGGGAGGCTTTTCAAACAGTCTTTTATTTTTATCCCAACGTCGTATTAACATATTGTAAACAATTCAGGTAACATAGAAATAAAATCTCCCTCAAGCCTCATCCTTCCCAGATAACCATCATTAAACATTGTTATGGCTCTTTTTCTACGCGAAAGCATATACGTATGTATACATAGATATACACACATTTCTATTTGTTACTTTTTTAAAGTTTTTTTTTTAAATGTTTATTTATTGTTGCTAGAGAAAGAGAGAGAGAGTGTGTGCATGCACCAGTCAGGGAGGGGCACCGAGAGGGGAAGACAGAGGATCCAAGAAGGCTCCAGCCTGTTAGCACAGAGCCTGATGCTGGGACATGGGCTCGAACCCACGAATTCTGAGATCAAGACCTGAAGCCAGTCACTTAACCAACTAAGCCAGCCAGGTGCCCCTCTACTTATTATTTTTTGAAGTGTCATCACACTTGACATTCTGTGCATCTTTCTGACATCTTGCCATGTCAGACACCTAGCTCTATCTCCTTCCTAATGTTTGCTTAGTTTAGGATAGGCTTTCAGCCCTGCATATTACAAGCTATTTTACAATATTAACACTTAAGTATTTTTGAGGTAGTAGTTTTCACAAATTGAGATTCTCAGAGAGTAATCATAGTTCATCTAGAGTTTACCTGAAAGTAAACCTAATCCCCAAGTCTCTTTGAGGAATAGGAAGTTTCTATATAAAATGACAGACTTCAAAAAAAAATGAAACATCACAAACATTGATCAACAACTAATAATGCACTTACATTTATTTTTCAGTTATAAAACCTGATCATACCTATAAAAAGTCTGGTGAGGAAAGAAACAATAACTCTAGAATATCATTATGTCAATATTTTCTTTAAATTTTTTTAATGTTTTATTTATTTCTGAGAGAGAGAGAGAGAGCGTGAGCAGGGGCAGGTCTGAGAGAGGGAGACACAGCATTTGAAGCAGGCTCCAGATTCTGAGCTGGCTGTCAGCACAGAGCCTGATGCGGGGCTCGAACCCACAAACTGTGAGATCGTGACCTAAGTCGAAGTCAGATGTTTAACCGACTGAGCCACCCAGGATCCCCTATGTCAGTATTTTCTAGTGGCTGTAATATAACCAATTTATGTGGGTCTAAAATCCAATTTTATCTATCATAAAAATAAGGTATGTTCACAACTGAAGGTATATACTTATAACTGAAACGATTTATAATAGAAACGATGCATCTATAACAACATTTGGAAGTCAGAAAAAAGTTAAATAATACTGGAATTTGTAATATTAAAGAAGTTACTATGAATATAATAGGCACATTCTTTCAGATATTTCACATATTTTCAGATACTAATAACATAACATAATATTAAATCTTTGGAAGTGAGTCTGTAATATATTAGGATATTCAAAGAAGCAAACTAATATACAAGATTTTTCCCCAAATAATTTCCAAAGATAAAGGCTGATTGATCTTGTTAGAAGAAATAATGAGTTAGTAACTTGTTTTTTTTTGTTTGTTCATTTTTTTTAGCAAATATAACTGCTAGTAATTTGGAGTGAATATAATGATATTCAGGGGAAAAGCTGGACTTTAACTTTGAGGAAAAATCAAGCAAGGTGGAAATGGAAATGAAAACCCCAAATAGAATTATCTTTCCCTCAAAACACACAGGCTCTAATCCACAGCTTATCTCTGCTCCTGGTAATTCTAAGCCTTTGTCTCCATTAATGCCCAGGACAAGGTGAACAGTAGTAACAAATCAAACTAATGCAGTCAGGCTAATACCTAGAGCGTCTCTATTATCTGACGGCTGCCTAAATAAGGTTATTTGGTCTCCTGTAATGGCATTTGTCTCTTGTGAAGCCAGCCAGACAAAGCCCATAGCTAGAGAGTGCTGTTGGAAACAATGGCTGTGTGTGCCGGTGGTCAACTTCTGAGTTAATCAGTGTTAATAGCTGCTTTCACTCCCTGCATCTTATCACACATCACACAAATGGCATGAATCCCCCATTACCGAACCCAGCACACAGCAGCAACCTGGGTCTTGTTATTGCTTCTAAAGACAGGGAGCTAAGTCCATTTACCTGATGTGGGACAGAAATCAAAGTATGACATGGTGACTATCTTCATTTCACAGAGTCCCATGGGACTAAAAGCCCTTCCATGTGCCTTTGGCTGCATTTAACACTCATTTTATTTATTTATTTTTAAGTTTATTTGTTTTGAGATAAAGAAAGAGCATGATCTGGGGAGGGGCAGAGAGAGGTAGAGAGAGAAAATCCCAAGTAGGCTCCACAATGTGAGCACCATTAGTGTGGAGCGCAATGCGGGGATTGAACTCACGAACTGAAAGATCATGACCTGCGCCCAAATCAAGAGTTGGATGTTTAACTGACTGAGCCCCCCAGGTGCACCCTAAAGCTCATTCTAAGTGTTCTGTCTCCTGCAGGGGTAGCAGTCCACAGTGGCCAAGCCACCAAGGCAGCTCTTAATGGCCCTGACCAGTCCACATCTCATTAAACTCACTCCTTCCCATTTTCCTCTCTCTTGTTTTCTTATTCCCACCCTTTTACTTTCCCCTGCTAATGCCTTGGGAAGCTTGTTGGTGTCAACAGGAATTACTGAGTCACACAACTGAACTTCCATCCCAAAATTTCGTTGCTTACCTTCTATCTAGTAAAGAGTTACCAACATTTAGGAGCTTCATGTCTGGTCTCTTCTTCCAGACATTTTAGGATGGCCTAGTGGGCCTCTTTTATTTAGCATTTTATGACAGGATGATTTCAGTGAAGTAAATGATACCATATTTTATGTCCCATTTACCATGTTATAAGCTTGCAAAGAACCATACACCTATTATATCTGGTATTGGTCAAGAAATTGCCTAACAGTGGTTTTACAGGGCACAACCCCATTTGATGGTGTGTTGAGCCACCAATACTGCTCTTTCTTGACCTATTTCAGTCAAGTCAGTCAATCAAAAAGTACTCATTGGAGGCAGCCTAGCAATGTAGAGTCTGCTCACCTGGGTTCAAACCCCAATAGGTATTTGACTTCAAGTTCTTCAATCTCTTTGAGCCTCAGTTTCCTCATCTATAAAATGGGGTTAAAATGGAACCTATTTCATCAAATCATTGGGGGAATTAAATGAGATAATGGATAAGGCTTAGGCTAATTCCTGGCACATACAAACGATCAGGAAATATTCACTTATAATAATGTGTTAGAGATATAAAAGAAGTAAATAAAGTTGTCTAGAACACTGTTGTTATGTCTATAACAATATGTAGCACATAGCGGGTTCTCAATCAGCACTCTTAGAACAAACAAAACCAGTTCTTGGTCTCTGAGAGCTT